TGTGCACTGTACATGTTTCACTTTGAGATTCAACCACAGTTATGATTCACAATAGGAGCTTCGACTTTAACTGTGAGCGGAAGGTATGTTTGCGGGATCGCAGTCCATTAATGTCAGTTTGACAAGAGCCAAACATGCAGTACCTTAACCACTTTAATGGGCAATATATTCCCAAAATAAAACACTGAGGCATATTGACTTGTTCAGAGTGTCTGCTGGCAGACAACATGTAAGGTTTTCCATTACGAGGATTCCAGGAGGCACTGAAATGCACCTGAGGATTCAGCCAGAGATAAGTGGTGTTGATGTCAGAGGTTGTGGTGAGGTTAACGTATGCACAACCCTCCACAACCACAAAACACATACACACACACACACATATGGATTCCCCTGTCACACACTTTATCACATTTATCTTTCCACTTGTTTGGAGAGACTCATCAAGTCTTTGAAGATGCCATCTAATTGAGACTCATTCTGTTGTTAGTAATTCAAACTCCCCAGAGAATTTACGGTTAAAAACACTAACTAACCCTGAATTAGGTTGAATCAGATATGACACCCCTGAGGTTTATCATATTTCTAAACGTGATGTCTCAAAATGTAAATTCACAACAAATTCCCCCCCCCCCCCACACCACACACACACACACACACAAAAAAATGATTTTGACAAGTCTGGAGAAGGACTACTATGACATATGCGAAATCCTAGAATACAATGTATATGAACAACTAAAGTGCAACAGCAAATATGTTCTGTAGGAAACATAATACTGATCTTAGACAATTTATTTGTTTTCCACTAAAATATTCAATCTTGCAGTACAATATCCATTTGTACTGACTACATCATTATTAAACTGTTATGTTTAGGCACATTGTTATGGTTAAGGAAAGATCATTGTCTGGTTTAATTTCTCTTTTTTCTTTTCTCTTCTCTACTAATTGCTTAGATTTGGAAATATTGCAAAATGTTTAAAAGAATAAATCTGTGAGAGAATGAAAGACGGGCAGTCAGACATTTCCACAAGTTTGTTGAAACAAACTGTGAAATTATCATATCACTTTTAAATTATCTTGGTGTATAACTTTATCTCCAATATCAACATACAATGTACATTTTAAACACTTTCAAAATGATTTCTTACTTCTTAGATTTAATGAAAAATTCACTTCCACTTAATAACCTGAGGGAAATCAATTAACTTCCACCTTGCATCATACTTCATGCTCAGAGGCTCCTGTATATCCCATGATGACGCTGCCCTCTCTTTTATTTTCCATCCAGGCTCTACCAAGATGAGCCAAACTCCTGTTGTTAACCCCTCTCACTCCCCTGAGATCGTTCATATTTGCCATACAGTGGCAAGGTAGGGAAGATCTCATTACTGAAAATAATTAGCAATACTTGACACAGATGTCTGTTGATGTCACAGCCGTTGGGCTATTACGGATCCCAGTATAGTTAGAGGCAGAGACAGAACTCCTGTTAAGATCTTCACCCTGACCTCAAACAGGCCAAACCTTATGTCCAACCAAGATAATAAAATAACTTCTATTCATATTACTGAATCAAAATTTCTGTTCACAGTCTGTGTAGAACCCAGGTGGGATCCACAGACTTTTGGTTAATGGTTTAAAATCATTCATAAAGCCTTCCCACAAGGATAAATATAAAGTTCCCCACTATTTACTGTATTTTCCAACTACTGCTATGTTCGTTTATATGCTGATGATACCATCTTGTATACCATTGTCTCCACTACAAACTAGACCTTCTTCAGATTGCAGTTTGCTTGTGATGACTCTCAGACCTCTTCTACTCAGTGGAAATGTAATCAATTCAGTTCATCATTGAAATACTTTATAATTTTATAATTTTTTTTTTTTTTAAAGCCCACTGTCCTATGAAACTCAGGTGAAACACCTTGCTCAAAAAAAGTTTAATAAAAGTTTATTAGTTGAGGCAGCCATCTCACTCACCACTGGAAGCTTTGTATTTTTTTTTTTTTTTTTTTTTTTTTTTTGTAGGCCATCTATAAGTTTCAAAGATAATTAACACCCTGCGTTGAGATTAGTGATGACACCAGATCACAGAATAGTAGTAATTAGTTTTGAGTTTCTCATACCAACTCCACTGGTTTCTAGTACAATGCACCTTCCTGCAATTTAAGAAGTTAGACAGTCATTCCTCTTAGGGACTTTAAAGTTTAACAAAATTTTTTGACTGTTGTAATTAGTGCATCTGTGTGTGTGACGACTGGTTTGCGTGACTGATTTGTCATGTTGTGAACTTGTACAGCATGCAATTTGTTCTCAGGTCTCTCTTTCAAAGGAGATGTTTATCTCACTGAGACTTCCTGAATAAGTAAAGCATAGCTTAACTAATGTGGACATCTTCCCGTCATCCTGAACCAAACGACTGCCAAACTTATTCTGTCGTAGTCATGATCAAACTTTTAAATAACATAATTACCCTATCGTCATGTTGCATGCGATTAATGTCATTATCATCATTACTCCCCTCATTATCATCAAAATCCTGAAAGACCAACGGAAGGAGAATGTGTATATCCTGCACATACACACATGTACACAGACATATCCACACACACACACACACACACACACACGCACACGCACACGCACACACACACACGCATTCTCAGGGCATTAAGTGCACTCACTCGCTGCACCAAAGTCAGCACGTCCACATCTGAGGAAGGAAATTATAAATTCAATTTCCATAGAGATGAGCTGAGAGTTACTTTCAGCTCCTCTTTCTATTTGAAGCTAATGAATGCAGATTGAAAAGATGTTGATTCCGTCTAAACAAACGCCCCCAACACCTGCACATCAAGTGGCAGGTCTGTCCTCTCCAGCACTAAAATAGAAAACATAATTGAAATATTCATATGCCTCTATGGAGTGAGTGAATACGGAAATTAATAATCTATCCCATTTATTTCTCTCCCTCTCTCCTCTGTGGAGGTCTGAGAGCGTGGACAAGAGCAAGTAGTCTACTTTAAGTTAAATGGTGTAATTTGTTATCAGGGGGTGTTGATAAATTAGTGTTCTCCATTGCAGTGACGTCTCCTGTTAGTCATGATCTAAGAGGGCCGCTGCTTCTGCGTTTACCTCTTTGCTCACTCACCAGAGTGGAGGAGGAGACCTGAGCTGTAGATGGAATTTGGACAGTGCCTCAGAGACTGAAGCAAAGCGCTACTCATGCGCTACTCAGGTCGTCCATGCTAAAAAATGTATGCACTCACAGTACTGTAAGAGTCATTAAAGGCAAAGGCATATACATTATGTCGTGCTTTGGTGGAGTTTCTTTGTTTAAGGGCCTCCTACAAAATGATGCTAATAAATTGCATCAGCAAAAAAAAATTAGTAAGAAATGTAATTCCCTCTGATTCTATTTTTTTTTTATCAACATGAGCAAATGTTTAAAATAATGCTCATCAGGGTATTTCATTGTTATTTCTATATAATACGCTTTTGGTAAATATATCATGATTAATGTTTTTATGGTTATGTTCAGGAAACCCAAAGCGCTTGTCTTGGCTATATCTTAAAAAAGACAGCTATAAATAAGTGAGTAAGGAAGTGTTGACTTTTTCAAATTTTTAGCCAAAACCACAATCATTGCTCAACCTTACCAACTGGTTTAGTTGGCTCACAACTACTGTAACTTTTAATTTTAAAATCCACCTTCAAGAGCTCACATCGTAAATTCTAATGTGCATTTCCACAGCCCTAATTCCAGTCTTTCATTGTGAAAAATAGTGTGGATGTTCCTCTTCACAAGACTATTGTGAAAAATATAGAAATGGTTGACTTTCTTTGACAGTAGCTTAACATAGCAACATAAACTTCCAAATGTGAAGACTGGAATTTATCACTGAACGAAAACAGTCTTTGTGTTAGAGAAAAGAAACTTAAGAGTATGTGTATGGACAGGAGAACAGGGGGAAATTGGGAATAAAAGTCTCTGATATGAGCCTGTTTCAAATAAAGGCCTAGTTTTCCTCTGCCAATGAGATAAATGAACCCACTATTTGAGAAGCTATGGTAACATCATGTGGGACATTAGACTCAAATCCTGGTCTCTGGAGTTAAAATCCTGTGCTGATGAACTCAGTTTGACTTGTGTGCAATTTAACAATGATACACTTGCTGGATTGAAAAAACAAAACAAAAACAGCCCCGAATATGTTTCCTCCAAAATGCATTTGGCAAAGCAACTAAGAATATATTTACAGAGACAGAGTAGCTCTAGTTGTTTATCTTATCTCCGTCGTCTCATTATGAATGACGTAGATTGTTATGTGTTATGAGTGAGGAAGTCAGTTTTTAACTTTTCTTTCACCCAGTATTATCAATGTATTTTGGCAGCACCAACGGCTGTAACAGGATATCCCAAGCTCTTTGAGTCACACAACAACTTAAAATAATAACATTGGGCTGAAGCCATGTCTCCCTTGGCCTTGCAAGTCTGTGGCTCTGCCATAGCAGCAGATATTTCTGCCTAAAAAGCACTTAACGTGCATTTTACAAATTAGATAAGGCATCGACACAGCAGCATAGACTGAACTGGTGCATTTCATGATGGCCATAATCTGCAGCTCAGGGTAAACTGTTGTGTCAGGTGTGACCTTCATGTCAAGACAGCTTGACCTTTCTACACAGCGGTGGAGCAGTCGTATTAGAAAATAATATGGAAGTGGACAGCCAAGGAGAAAAGGACACCGGGGGTGCTTGATGCTCAAACTCGGCGGTGGTGGAAAAACAACAAGGATGAGAGACAGAAGGAGGGCACATACTGTAGCAGAAAGAGAATAATGGGGCAGCCAGTCAGAGGCTATTTCTATCATGTGCTTTGTTTAAAAACAAGACCTTTCCCTGCATTATTAAATTTTATTAAACAAACGGTGATATATTAAACAAAGGAACAAGGGTTCAGAGAAAGGAAATATAAAAAAAGGCCGCCTCACCTGTGTATAATGCGCTTGGTGCGGAGGTATCCCAGAGCCAGGGCCAATTCACAGATGTAGAGTTTGACGGTGTTCTCTGAGAAGTGGACGTTCTGCTGGAGGTGGTAGCGCAGATCTCCTCCCAGGAGCAAATCCACCACCATAAACATGTCCTCCTCATCCTGGAAGGAATACCTGCAGGGGAAAGGGGGGCAGGAGTGAGGAGTGATGTTGAAAGGGATTTAGGGAGGTAGAAGCAAGAGAGAGTCGTGCAATCAAGAATGAGAAGAAATCAGAAATGAATGTGGAAATAACAGTGGTGATTGGGGGGAAAAAATAGAAGAGAAATGAGGGTAAACGCAGTTAAGCAGCAGAGGGGGAGGTTTGAAGGGGAAGGCAGGTATGGAGATGTGGAAGTCATAGGAGAAGATGAGGGAAATGAGGGGTGAGTAGAAGTAGAGGTGAAAGGAGGAGAGGAAGAAGCAGAAAGTGACAGCCACAGATAAGAATCACATATTTACCATAAAACAGTGTACAAGTAGGGATCCTAAACGATGAGACTAGCACAAAAACCCTCTTTATTTTGTAAAGAACCCATATTCCTCTAGCCCATGCTAGAGGAATATGGGTTCTCTAACTAAGCAGATTTTGTTTTTAAATTTAACTTTCTGGATTGCTGCAACTTTGCCAACATTGCAACTTTTATACTCATCAGCAATAAAAAGAGGATGACAAGTGCAAATTAAACTCATGTCAACCTTGAGCTCCTCGGGCAAATCAGCATTTATAAGACAGTATATAAGACCTTAGTACAGAAGGTTTCGACAAGAACAAATGGAACAAAAGTCCCCAATCAGTGTTTCAATCCCATGATGTCTGAGAACACAACCACCGGAGCCTCCCAGGGTCTTTGAGGGTCGACGCTGCTCTGCTCTTTAACACTCCTCACAGTCATCACACTCCTTCAATTTGCAGAGGGAGCACCTACATATTGACTGAGTCATGCCTGAGGCAATACTCATTACCATGCCTTCAAGGCTACCAAGCTAAGAAAATTCTTTATTACAGAAGTGGCGATGATACTTAGGCAGGTAGTTCTGAAACACTATACTTTTTTCTATTCATTGTTTTTCATCTTCTGTTTATGTCTGAAGAAACTATTGTTTTTATTTAAGAACTACAGTAGTAAGGTTTCACATTTAGTATCAGTAATATACAAGGCATTCTTGCTTTCTACAGCAAAAAGCAAATGAGGACAGTCAACACAGACAACATAATCTCTCCTCTGATTACATCAACAAACAGATTATCCTGGCTTTTTTTTTTTTTTTTTACCTTACATGGAGTGAAGTGCACAGTGTTATTGAGCATGTGTGTGTCTCCTATCCCATCAACATCGGTGCTGTGAAAATCTTTATTTATAGCTCGATAACTGAGCAAAAAAAAAAAAAATCTGCACCTGCTCAGCGACACTGTCTGCTCAGATGTCTCCCCACCCTGTTTCTGTCCCTCTCTAGGGCGAGCAGGTTTTCCATCAGGCTGTTGCCATTTCATTAAAGCAGACCATTACACCTATTAAATATTCCTTATGTCAGTGTGTGGTCTAAAGATTTGGCAGGGGAAATCGGAACTGTCTGTTTAGGTGTCTCCAACAGGGAAAGTGCCAAAGTCGTACAGAATGTCACTTACTTTTTAATGAATTAAATATCATCCGATCTAAGTTATTTTAAATGTTTTCCTCTCTGCTCAGTGGTACTTTTAAACGTTGTCTTTTAGCACATACGGTACCAAGCATTTGTTTGCTCATTCATCAGTCATCCATTAGTGTGTGAGGAATTTTCTGTGGGGAATGCAACTTGTGGTCATCCATTTATTCATCCATCAATCAAGCACTGGCATGACCGGAAAGCCTGTATCAGCATGCAGCCCACTATGTCACCATTTAAGAAGCTGTTGCACAAATCATCACTGATTTTACAAGCCGAGCTTCCTGCTGGGGCCATGCTTTTAGTCCCCCCATCCTTTCTAAATGACGAGCTAATTCGTTTCTCCCCCACAAGAAACTAATTTATGCAAAAATATTATGAAAAAAATTGCACCAGCCAACATTTCCTGGCTCGCCTAAAGCGTTGCTCTGTGTACTGTGTGCAACACAACGTCCTACATGTGCAAATTCAGATCTTCCGTAAATTTGGAGAACGCTGCCGCCCTTCTTAAGTCCTTCAAGATGTTCCTGAGGTAAAACAAACAGGCTAGAATTTCATTGAACACTTCCGAGAGGTTTCATTGTCGACTAGGGGTTTTTACTGGCAGTTATTTGCCAGGACCATCCATCTTGGCTGAGACTCAGTGCTCAATGACCGAGGGTAGTTTTTTGCCACGTTGGTGAACCCCTCTCCTCGGGGCCCTTCTCCAATAAACTGGAGTTGGTGCTTTTCTGCGCTGGATGGATGGGGATTGATTGAGCTGACTCCAAACTGTCTGCTAAGGCTCAGATAATGCTGAGACCACTTAATATCTGATTGGAAAGACTATCTGCGAGATGCCCGTCCTGAAGATGCTCGCACATTTGCCAAAGTCACAAAGAGCCGCATGAAGATACCCTCGCATATACACACACTCAGTACAGTATATAGTTCTCCTTCCTACTCAGCTCCATGTTTCTGTTAAAACACGCATGCATCATTAAGTATTATTATGTGCCGTTATAAAATAACTTCCTCATTCATAACACTGACAGAAATCTCATCACAGCGCATCAAAAAACAATTCTCTACTAATGAATCTCAGTTTTAAAGAAAAAAAAAAAAGATATGAGAAGAGGTTAATATGTCGTTCTGCAGATTTTAAATAGCACAGCTGAAGGAAGTGAAACTAGCAAAGAAAGGGTTTGAAATCAGTGAGCTGTTCCTGAATGTAAGTACAACAGTTTGTCATTTTAGTTTAGTTTAGAAGAAGAAAGAAAGTAAATAATGTTTCTGTTGATCTGACGTATTGAAAAAAGCTACCACTCTCTATACGTGTATCAGTGTGTTTGTGTATATATGCTAAATATGTGCATGTGTGGTGTATGTGTGCAAGCTTGTTTGTATGTGTGTGTATATTATAGATATATCTGTACATGCATCCATGTGCTTTAGTAATATTACTTATTGTGAGGACTGAAATTTTTATATTAGGTTTAATAAGCTATGGCTGCAGCCTATATGCCTTATTGGTCTTCTTCTGTTCGGTCCAAATGACAGACACCTTTTGTTAATGTTATATGTGGACTCAAATCAATCCTGTATTTTTTAAAGCATTTATGACAGTTAGATCCTCAGGAAGAAGGAGACAAAATTATACTTAAAAGAAACGCATTCTGAGAAGAGTGGACTTCTATGGGGAGTCTACAAAGACTCTGGAAGATATCAAAGTTCCAGCTGCTGCTGTTAGATGTAAGGCAGTGATAACTGAAGCAACAGAGTGGATCAATGAGTGAGTGTGAGTGTGTGTGTGTGTGTGTGTGTGTGTGTGTGCGTGTGTGTGTGTGTGTGTGTGTATATGAGAGAGAGAGAGTGTTGGAAAATGATATGACACATGAGTCTGGCAGAGAGAGAGGGGAAGCACAGATCAAACAGGCGTCATATTAACATCACATTCTCTTAAATATCAAAGCGATGCTTCACTTTGATACAGGATTTGTAGTTTTTGGGACCGACACAAATCTCTTTCACAGGTGGTCAAAAAATTTCTGCATAATTATCCACAGCGCTCCTGCTCTGCTTCCATGTACCCGCGTAGACTAATCAATCACAAATGAAGACTTGTTATTAGTTTATAGAAATATTGTCAAGGGAGGGAAACATGGTACTGGAAATAAACATTCATCAAGTGCAATATTGTGAGACCAAGCATGCAAAAAGGTGGACATAAAAAAAAAAAAGAAAAAAAAAAAGCAAAGCTGAAATGTGTGAAATATTCATGATCCAAACTGTGATAACCAAAGCTAAAAACAAGGCTAGCTGAAAACTATAAACCAAGGCAAGGAAAACGAGCTTTTCAGCGGTTTGAAGTGTGAGCTAGACAGCAGTCTGTGTTTGCTGGATGGACTCCATCTTACCACCAAACTATCAATCATTTGATTTAAGTGTCTGTTGCTCATTCTCTCTCCCTCTCTTTCCAGGCCTCTCTCTCTCTCTCTCTCTCTCTCTCTCTCTCTCTCTCTCTCTCCATACACACACACACCCATACACCTAGAATGTAAATACCTCTAACCCAGCAGAGTTAGTTAAGGTAGTAAAGTGGCTGCTGTCACAAGCATTTAGGAGACACAACCTGGACTTTAATTGCTCTTTTTCCTGGCAGAGAAACATTGGCTTCTTCTAGGGAAACAGCAGTTTATTTATTTAATTGTTGTTGTATATAATCTATACAATGAGACAATTTCTTCTAGTGTTGTGGGTCCATTGGATTTTTCTAGACTTTAATCTCCAATTTCATGAATTACTAATTTTGATTAGGTACTCATACTTATTAACTATTTAATGTCATTATTTATTTTTTCATTTTAATGTCCCAAGCTGATCCTAAGGTTTGGTATCGGGGACGATCCTGGAATATTTCAGTGGACTGGTATCTGCTGAAATAAAGGACCAAATCTAATTGGTTTTGATACTCAATATTAAAGGACTCCGATTGAGATTGGGGCCAAAAAAAAAAAAACTTGATTTACCTACTGCTTTACCTTTAATTTCATTACCTCTAATTTCTTTCAGTTTAGTGTGTTGAAAAAAGCCAAAGTAGATATGTATATACAAATGCAGTGTATTATTACTTAAACATACATAGCTACTGGATGACTTTTCACAGCCTGGATGAGGAGCTTGGATTAGGTGTTAAAGACGGACACTAAGTCCAAGTCAATTGATAGTACACTTGAGACCTCCACTGTGAAACCAGTTTAATCGAGTAGAAAACTAGCTCTCATGCTTGGCTGAGGCTCCCATGTTTTCTGTCCCACAAGTCTTCACAAAGCCAAGGTGGTACTAACAGCAATCTCTCACGTGGTCGGTCAGGAACAAAGCTGCCATAAAGAGGCCCGACAGCCCGGTGTGGTTGTGCACACAGTGAGGCACAGTACAGTACACTGATTAGTAAAAGGCTCAGACACACTTACTGCCATCCAGCAGCCAGTTGTATGAGCTGGGCACCTT